TAACTTAGCATCATGCTAACCTGTCTCTACAGTATAACCTGATGATGCTAGCGCTGTTAGCCTTCGAGGTGACAGTTTACAGACACCAGGAGCTCTACCGTCTCCGCCGTAACGAAGTCCCGCCCCCTACCAAAACGCTGTTTCATGACATCACCAGGCATCACCTGGACGACAGCGTGCTAAGCTGTATCAAGTACTTCCTCAACTACTTCTTCTACAAGTTTGGCCTGGAGGTGAGACACACACTGAGGTTAGCAATAAGCTAATGTCTTCCTGTTTAAAAACATTCCCGTGCTCTTCCTCAGACCTGCTTCCTGTTGGCCGTGAACGTGATTGGTCAGCGGATGGATCTGTTTGCCGTAGGCCACGCCTTTGGCCTCATCGGCGTCCTATCAAAGCGCAACAGGAAGCACATCGCCTCAGTGTGGCCCAAGTACTGCTACTTCCTGTCAGGGCTGTTGTGCTTCCAGTACATGCTGTGCATTGGGTTCCCTCCGGCTGCCTGTAAAGGTACAAACTCCCCTGCAGACAAGATGTTGGGATTATTCACTTCACAGTTTAAAAAACATGTCTTTATGCTAAGCTAGCCTAACATTAGCTGCGTTCGGATCGCCGAGTAGTGAGTTCTGACCTCACAGCAGCAACAGGTATTCAAAGTGTTTCAGGGTGTACTAAGCTAGGCTAAAATCTTCCACCTGCTTCTTGTCGTTATGCTAAGCTAGGCTAAAAGCTTACTCCTGCTTATAGTCGTATGCTTTGCTAGGCTAACAGCTTCTCCCGCATCAGGTCATTATGCCAAGCTCTACTAACAGTTTCCCTCTGCTTCAAGCCGTTATGCTAAACTAGGCTTAAGATTTTCTTTTTAATGGCTGAATCAAAACATTTAGGATGAAACCCTTTTTTTATGAAACACAAACTTGTTTGATATTTGTTTTGTTTACAGATTATCTCTGGAGACCTCCGTCTTCCAACATGGACTCCAACGTGGTGAAGTGGCTCTTCCTCCCTGATCACCTGACACCACCGAACCCAGTCTTCCTCCTCTGTAAGATCATCATCATCATCGTCATCATCATCATCATTATTTCCTGATCTTTCAGAGGATTTCTTGCTCCTCCTCCTCATCACATCATGTTTCCTGATCTTTCAGAGGATTTCTTGCTCCTCCTCCTCATCACATCATGTTTCCTGATCTTTCAGAGGATTTCTTGCTCCTCCTCCTCATCACATGTTTCCTGATCTTTCAGATGATTTCCTGCTCCTCCTCGGAGCGTCTCTGCAGCTGCAGGTGTTTGAGGAGGAGCTCCTGTCGTCAGTTCAGATCCTCGCGGGAGACAACTGTGAACTGGACGAGGATGGCGGACAGGTGTCCGATCCAATCAGGCGACTCCGTCTCAACACAGGCCCTGACTTCATGCTGTGCAGGTAAACCCTCCTCATTCTCCTCCTGTCTGTCTCTCTGTCTGACCTGTGTCATCTGTGTGTGCAGGTCTTACCTGGACATGATGAAGCTGATCATCTTCAGCTACATGTTTTGGTTTGTCCTCACCATCATCTTCATCACTGGGACGACCAGGTGAGTGGGCGGAGCCACAGCTACCTGAAGTTAAACCTGAATATTCACCATTAAACTTTTTACTGGTTCTGGACCAGTCTCAGTTTAATACTGATGCATTTATATGACCTACATCAGTAAATGAGACTATCAGCATGAAGATTGGCTATTTCTATAAAGTTATTAGATGAAACGTTTGCTGGTATGCAGGTTCACCAGAAACTCCTTCAGCTCAGACTCCAGCACTTACCTCTTGACTTGTTTCTACTTCCTGTTCCAGGATCAGTATCATTAGATTACATGACAGTCATTTAGCAGACGCTTTTATCCAAAATGACAATTCAGATTCTATCACATTTCTACACCGTAAGCACAGCTACGGGAGCAATTTTGGGGTTAAGTGTCTTGCTGAAGGACACGACTAGCGGAGCCGGGGATCGAACCGCCGATCCTCTGATTGAAGGACGGCCCTGCTCCCCACTTATCCACAGTCCCCCGACACTATTCTACTTCCTGTTCAAGGGTCAGTATCTTCTTCGACTTCCTGTTCCAGGATCAGTATCTTCTTCTACCTCCTGTTCCAGGATCAGCATCTCTTGTACGGGTTACCTCTTGACTTGTTTCTACTTCCTGTTCCAGGATCAGTATCTTCTTCTACTTCCTGTTCCAGGATCAGCATCTCTTGTATGTGTTACCTCTTAACTTTTTTCTACTTCCTGTTCCAGGATCAGTATCTTCTTCTACTTCCTGTTCCAGGATCAGTATCTTCTTCTACTTCCTGTTCCAGAATCAGCATCTCTTGCATGGGTTTCCCCTTGAGCTATTTCTACTTCCTGTTCCAGGATCAGTATCTTCTGTATGGGTTACCTCTTGACTTGTTTCTACTTCCTGTTCCAGGATCAGTATCTTCTGTATGGGTTACCTCTTGACTTGTTTCTACTTCCTGTTCCAGGATCAGTATCTTCTGTATGGGTTACCTGGTGGCGTGTTTCTACTTCCTGTTGGTGGGCGGAGATCTGCTGCTGAAACCAGTCAAATCTATCCTGGTGTATTGGGATTGTCTGATTGGCTACAACGTGTTCGTCATCACCATGAAGAACATTTTGTCGGTAAGATGCATCATCATCATCATGCTGGTCTTTATTAAAGTACTCAGAGCCACATGGTCGTGAACCTAAACTGTCTTCCTGTCTCCACCTGTCTGTCTCTCTGCCTGTCTGTGGTCAGATCCTGGCCTGTGGTTTCATCAAGTCGTTGGTGTTGAATCACTGTTGGCTGATTCAGCTCTTCAGTCTGGCCTGCACCATCAAAGGATACACAAAACGTAAGTCAGCTAGGTCTACCTGTCTGTCTGTCTACCTGTCTGCCTGTCTGTCTGTGTGTTGCTTATGTATGCATCACTTCCTGCAGCGGAGCAGCAGAGCAGTAAGCAGTGTGAGTTGCCGAGTGACGAGGCCGGAATCATCTGGGACGGCGTCTGTTTCTGTTTCCTGTTGCTTCAGAGGAGAGTCTTCAGGAGTCACTATTTCCTGTATGTGGTCCTGGACCTTCAAAATACACAATTACTAGCCTCCAGGTACACAATCACACCATAAACACACATTAACACACACACACACACACAGAGGCACATCATGTTAATGTGTGTGTGTGTGTGTGTGTTGCAGGGGGGCAGAGCTCTTTGAGGCGTCCACAGTGAAAGCTGTCAGAGCGAGACTGGAGGTGGAGAAGACGTCCATGGACCTTCTGAAGAGACAGTAAGACACGCCGAGTCAAAACACTGAGACGAGTCACAGTCAAAACACGGAGAAGAGTCAAAACACTGAGACGAGTCAGAGTTGAAACACTGAGACGAGTCAGAGTTGAAACACTGAGACGTGTCGAAACACTGATGAGTTGAAACACTGAGACAAGTCAAAGTTGAAACACAGACGAGTCAGAGTCGAAACACTGAGACGACTCGAAACACTGACGAGTCGAAACACTGAGACAAGTCAAAGTTGAAACACTGAGACGAGTCAGAGTCGAAACCCTGAGGCGAGTCAAAGTCGAAACACTGAG